GGTTACTTTTTATTTTATTTTTAAAAATTAATTATATAAAACATATAAAAAAATTATAAATCATTATTCTAAGATAAAAAAACCACAATAATATAAGTGTAATTTTTTATATAATGTTTTTACAAATTTTTATATATTATTAAATAAATAAATATATTACATATAACAAATCTCAAATGAATAAAAAAAATTAATTATTGAAATAACTCATAAAATTATATCAAAAAATAATATAAAAATAATTTTATATTATTTTTATATAATTTTAAGGATTTTTTTAAATAATTAATTTTTTATTTATTTAAAATTTATAATATCAAATATATTTATTATTTAATAATATATAAAAAATTAAATATTAAATAAAAATAATATAAAAAATTTATTCCCATGTATATAACTGATTGTAAAGTCGTGTAAACTGATTATACCCAATCAATTTAGGGACCCACCAGACGCAGTCCACATGGGAATGTTCCTTCCAACCAATGGCATCCACGTGGGACACCGTCCACATGGAGCTGTCCGCTGTCCCCATCGCGCAATCCAACGCTCCTGGATTCACTCTTCCCATCCTACCAAAACGCATCTCAGCCGTACGCTCTGGTCCATAGCCGTTAATGCCGTCGGCTGAGCTTGTTCCCGCGCTGTCTCCCTCGCCCACGGCAACAAACTCAACGGTGTCCCACATGTGACCGGCAACCATATCTGTCGCTGTCCCGAATCGGAAACTGCTTTAACCACGCGCTTTCTGCACGTGTTGTGCAGGCCCAGCGGGGGAAAGTTCCTTGTGAATTATGATTGGTTCATCACATGTTCGGCATGGCGCGTGAGGGACGGCGGTCGTGGGATTGTGATTTCCGTCAACGAAGTTCATGCACGATTCGCCCGGATATTTCTCATACAAGTCTCCCTGCTATAAAACTCCTAAGCATCCCGTCGTCGATCTCATTAACAAACTGTTGAAAACTTAGAGGAATCGCATTCTGAAGTTCTTAATCTGATCGGAATTACGAAGAGATTTGACACAACTTAGAGGAAATTCGGAAGGTAATTTGAAAATTTTAGTGAACGAAAATGGAGAACAAGTCGATGAGTTACGAGTACGATTTGAATCTGAAGGCGACGGAGTTGAGATTAGCATTGCCGGGAAGCGATGAGCCTGATGAGAAACAATCAGTTACTTGTGTTAGGAGCAATAAGAGAGCTTCATCGGAGATTTCGGAGGAATCTAAGAGCAGTTCCAGCGTTACAATCGCGGGAAATGGTGATTCTGATGCTCCGCCTCCTGCAAAGTAAGTGTTTGAGATTTTGCCGCAATGAGAGGAAACTGGATTAACTTCGGGTTCCTAGAAATTGAAATCTCATGTTAAATTTGATTTTGATTTGCAGGGCACAGGTTGTGGGATGGCCACCGATTAGATCTTACAGGAAGAATTGTTTACAAGGAAACAAAAATGAAGGTGAAGGAGTCGGGAGGTTTATGAAAGTAAGCATGGATGGAGCTCCTTATTTGAGGAAGATCGATCTTAGGGTTTACAACAGCTACTCAGAGCTCCTCAACGCTTTGGAAAACATGTTCAAGCTCACCATTGGTGCCTACTCAGAGAGGGTAGGGTACCATGGATCTGACTATACTCCTACCTATGAAGACAAAGATGGTGATTGGATGCTTGTTGGAGATGTTCCATGGGAGTAAGTTCTCTCCACACCATCTTCTCCTTTGGTTCATGTTTTACTTCACAGTTCACACCAGGGCTTACAAATTTCTCTTTTCCTTTTTCAGAATGTTCATATCTTCCTGCAAGAGGTTGAGAATCATGAAGGGATCGGAAGCCAGAGGCTTGGGCTGTTCCTTGTGAACCCACAAGACCAAAATGTTTTACCAAGATGCAGCGAAAGGAGACATTTTTGCTGTGAAAGTCTTTGAATTTTCAATATTGTCTCAACTTTCTTATATAGGGTAGCACAAGGAGAACCATAGAAGAAAATAGAGAGGAGGAAAAAGGAAAGAGAACAAAGAAAAATTAATTGAAAGTCCATCTGTGCAAGGGAAAAATTGCTTCAACTTTTTCCATATTTTGGGGATATACAAATATATGATACAATGCAAACGCTTATGCACAATCTGTGTATACATCATCGCTTGTATTGCTTAATTAGAATAATAAAAACAAAACAATATATACATTCTCATTTTTCCTCATAATTCTTCTACACCATTTCTTTCATTGATTAAAACTTAAATTGTATGTGTGTGTCAATCTAGTTCTGTTTCTCGAATTAATCTGGCAGTCAGTTTCATCCTTGACATTCATAATGAAGTTTAACTCGAGAAATGAGCCATCAAAAGCCAGATTGATTGGTGTCTTCATGACACTCATGAGATTGGAGATGGCAATTTGGATCATAAACTTCAAAGATAAAAGATACCAGATGCTCCCACCCGGAGAACAAATCCTAACTAAGATGATATATTTGGGATTAGATAATTATCACGCAAGAAATTTCAAACAGCAGCTAGAAATTGCAGGCAGACAGCAAAGGACGACGGCAAGAATAATTCCAACTTGGAATGCTCAAAGACCAATTCAGCAAAGGAAAGATAAAGAACATTAGAAAAGTAAAGCTTGAACGCTGCCAAGAGCCTATCCTTGAATTTAATAGCAACCATTTTGGTTAATACTACCAGAAAAGACAAATCAAATTTTCAGATTGAGTCATAACATTTTTATTAAAGCACAGAACAGATATCAACATTACAAAGTGAATTGCTGTTTTATGCATGGCAATTGCAGCTCAAAGATAATTCTATTATAATAACAGATCGAGTTGTCAAATGAAATAATAAAACTACGGGTAGCAGAATGTATCAATCTTAACAGATGGAACACATGTTTGAACGCTATCAAGATTTCCAAAAAATTCTCCAACACAATATGCACGTACCATTCATATGAGACACCCCAATCATGGCAATATTCTAAAATCAGCCGAGCTGCAGAGCAGGGATGCCAGGGAATTAAAATGGCAAGAGTTCGTCAGCAGACATTGACTTAACTTGCATCCTTTCATCCTGATCATGAAGAGAGCCCATTCTTGAATCTAGGATTGCCAATTGGGACTTTACCCAGTATGGATTATTCTTTCCTTCAATCCACAGGGCTTCTCCAGTATCCTTGTGCTTGAAATCTGGATATTTTGGGTTTTTCTGCAAATTAAGGAAAAATAAATATTTCAATTGTAGAGCCTCAAAAACTAGTTGAATAACTCCTATCAAGCTGGACCATAATAGAATTACCATAAATAGTAAGATATATTCGTATTGACCTCTAAATTTCAATATGATCATTATCTTTTCTCAATTAGTAAAGCATTTTCTTATTTCGTTGTCAAAACTTCTTAAGTTAGATTTTATGACCTTGATACATGCATAATATTGGCCGTGCAATCTATAGCTTGTTTTCCTCATTTCACACTGACAACAGAGAACCAAATGTCATTGGCTCTCATGCAATGCTAAGAAGCATATATATAAATCTACATAAACTCTAAAAAAGAGACGGAAAGAATACCTTGCTCTTCCTATTATCCCACCACTCCACAGGATTAGCAAAAAAAGCTTGCCAAAGTTCTTGTGTAGAACTCATACTATTTCCACCATTACTGCCAAATCTTTTACCTGTGAGAAGATTAAAGAATGGGCCAAAAAAACAAAAAAATCAACTCAGAAGAGGAGAGATTTAGGCTTAGTGAGGAAAGTCTGCTTCATGAAATGTGACTTACCTGATGTCCAACTGGAGTCACGATCATATGACACTGAGGAGGAACTCCTTTCAACAAAATTTAGTTGCTGGACAACTACCTGCCAGAGATCCCACATACCAATAAAAAGGATCAGTAAATCAGAAAATGTTTTAATATCCAACAGGCAGAATGAGATAGAGCATGATAGCCAAAATTCGAAGACCTTGTGGTACGTTTGCTGTTTCCCATTATCACTTTCAACTGTATCTGAGACCAGTCGACCACAAACATATATTTGCTGGCCCTTCTTCACATGCTGATAAGCAATATTTGCAAGCTCATCCCATAATGTCAAATTGATCCTAGAAAACAGCAAACTATTACTTTTGTCTTCTGAGGGAGGCTTGTAATGTTCCATCATTTACCAACTTTAGATGTTAATGGAACAATAACTCAGCAAGAATAACATAAAGACCATGAAACATAAGCAGCCAAATCAGAGAGTTGGTTAGTTATTAATATACCTAACTAAACCAGGAAAGAAACCAAAAACATATTAACTTCCTTTTTCAAATATTTTACTTAAAAAAAAAAGAAGACTAAAAACAAGCAAGTTTGAAATTTGAATCCATGATATCACCCTTCTTCCCTCCCTCCTCTTTAAGGACATAGAAGATCCATTTGACTCAGGGGCCAAAAGTCAATTGTCATTAGATAAAGAAAAAGAGGCTAAAACTAGCTGTGTAACTTGCACTGTGAGGTTCAGATAGCTCCTTCATAGTAAATTTATCCTTTTCATAATTGAATCGTTCAACTAAACTAGCCTTCCAGCTAATAAATATGGATCAAGAGTAACAACAGGCACTTCAGCCAATAAAAATTTAGTGACAAACTCATGATACATTAAAATCACAAATAAACGAAGTTTTAAAAGTTTGAGCAGTTTTTCAACTTCCAAATGCCTTCTGCAACTTACAAGCAGATATGCATGTTCAATTGCCTCAATCAAGTCTCTAAAAGAATGCTTATCCAGTTATCCCCAATCCAACAGGAAATGTGATGCAAACCATCCATTTCCCATTTTTATTTTTCTACTGCACCAGCCTATACATAAAGACCTCCTTGTTTCATCACTTCACTAGCAAACTATATCAACCAAAAAAAATTAAAAAATAAAATAAAATAAAAAATCCTTTGCACGGTTCTTAAATAACTCTCGTCACTTTAAAGTAACAACAGTACCAGAACAGCCACTTATCTCCCAGAAAAATCCTAATTTCATAACATTACAATTACCTCAAAATGAAAACATAGTGCTAACATATAACTCAAACATTCATTTACAGAGATGAAGGCAGCATGTGTAAATGTGTAATCAATTACCAGGAAGTGTCTGTGGGGGACTTCTTAACGGCCAGTCGGGTCCAAGCAAGAACCTTTCCGGAGGAAAGATGCTTGATTTCGACTGGGCTACCGACGACACCGATGAGGTGCACCGTGTTGCAGAGCTCCTTGCTCCAAGGGACTTCCGTTGGCTTCGGGTAGGACGCTTGAAGGCTGTAGCCTTGGTCTTTGTACTCCACACAGCATTTCAAGCTGCGACTGAAATTCTGTCGCCTCGGAACACCAGAGGCGAAGTGAAGACAGAATGGTGAAGTCGGAGCCGCCAATCTGGTGTCCGGGAAAGGGTTCCTGAAGTAAACGACGGCGTTCCTAGTGGAAATCAGTGTCTGCTCTATCGCCATTGTTGCGCGCCTTTCGTTTCTCCGGCGCCGGTTATCTGAAGAGGTTTCCCCAAAATATCTGTCTTTAGCAACTGGATTGGGCCGCATCTTGTTTAAGAAATGAACTTGGATTAAACAAGGCCCAAATCAGATCCGGTCCGCTGGGCCTAACATTAGTAACGCCTATAGAACGCTCATCGCGCAATGCGCACCCCTTTCTGGATTCATCTCTCTCCATCGGTTTATGCTCAAAGCCCCCGATTTCTCGTCTTCGTTCACTCTTCCCTGAGCTGAGGAGGCCTGAACTGAGAAAATGCTAGCTCGCCTCGCGTCCAAGCGTCTTCTCGAGATCCGGCAAGTTTTCCGGCAACCATCTCAAGTAATTCCAGCTTCATTCTCTTTATTTTTTTATCCTCATTTTTTAGTCATCCAGACATCTCCGATCTCGTTTGTATTGTTTTTTTTTTTTTTTTCTCTAATCGCTTTTCTCTCTCCATTTCTGCAGCCAGCTCGATCCTTCTCAACTGCCTTGAACTACGTAAGTTTGAATTTTCGAACAAGCATTTTTTCTTGGTTTTTGATTGTCTGCATATGAAATTTGGGTTTCTTTTTCCTGTAGAGAAGAGGATTTGATTGAATGAGTTTGTTTTTTTGGTGGTGGCAGCACATTGATTCTCCAGATAACAATCCCGACCTTCCATGGGAATTCACTGATAAGAACAAAAAAAAGGTTAGTTAAATTTTTTTTTTTTTTATATAAAACAGTATTTCTTGATTTCTTCATGCTTATTTATTGATTTTTTTGATAGAAAATTGTGTGCATTATCTATGTAATTGTTTCCATTTGAACTGCATTTTATAGAGTATGGATTGAAAAGCCTGACTCTGCTGCTAATTGGAAAGTCAACTATACGGAAAAATGAACAGGAAGAAAATTTGATAGGAAAGGCTAAACTAAATACTGAGGATATGAATATTGAAATGCCATTAATTATGAATAATTTTAGGAGAGTAGATTATGTCATGATTATTGTACCAGACTGTGTAGAACATGCTTGTTCAATTTTTGTGAAATTTCAAATGCCTCATTTTAGTTCCAAGCATCAGTACTCGAATCCAGAGGACGGAATATATTGAGTTAGGAGATAAGGTTTAGTACTTATATGGATGTGGTCTTCGAGGTGGGACTGACCGGTAATATTGGTTCAGAATTAAGTGCAATAATTAAATGAGAGAGTGAATTAATTTAACCACATCCTAATCCATTATTCTCCTTGCACTTTCTGACATGATGTGTAAGGATGTAAGCCAGTCTCTCCTCTCTAGTTAGCAGATGTGAGTGTATTAAATAGTTTTTGTCCTGAGTTGTTTCTGCTGTTTGTTTGAAGTGGGGCTGATTGTTGTCCCGTGCTTGTTTTTCGAACAAGAAAAAAAAAAAAAAAAAAAAAAAAGATAGCAAATAAAAGGGGCAGATTTATCTTACAGTTCTTTAATCTGTTTTTCAGACAGTGTATTGCTATTTTGCTTTGAAATTGGAATAAGTAGCTAGTTCTAAATCCTTAGTTCTTATAATTCTAACTTCATTTCTTTGTAGGCCAAGGAGATATTATCTCATTATCCATCAAATTACAAGCAATCTGCAGTTATTCCTCTCCTAGATCTTGCACAGCAGCAGCATGGAGGGTGGCTTCCTGTTTCAGCAATGAATGCAGTACGTGGCATGAATTGATGTAAACTGAATTTGATATGGTGGCATACTTGTTTCATCACTTATAAACGGGCCCCTCAAGTTCTAGGAAGTGTGGTGTTTTATAGGACATGACAAATTAGATTAATAATTCCATTAGCCATGA